GAAAGACACTCGCGCTTCCAAAACTGACATTTGTGGGAACTTCAAGCGGGGATATAGGTGTCAGGCATGATCTGACAACAGTGTCAAGAAAATACCATTCAGGAGACTTGGTCTTGTCTCTAATGTTCAAGAGCACGAGTATTTGGCTCGTTTGGCTTTTACATACATTCAGGAGTATTTTTCCCCTCTGTTAACAGGTAAGAAGTATCTCGATATTCCTTTAGCATTTTCCAAACATTATCTGAATCTGTCATCAAGGATTTAGTAGCTAAATAGTATAAGCATTACTTTACAGATAACAGAGAGAGGTACTGTGCTGAAGACTCAGACCCCAACACGGAGATAGAGAGTTCCAGGTTCCTAGCTCCCAGGTCGTATCAGTATTTTCCTCACTGTTTCAGATTCACATTCGTAATTGTAGTCACTGCAAGCTATACAACTATGACTTGGGAAATTAATAGGAACTACGGTAAAGTGCTCAGTACCTCTCAGAATTAGTCAATAAAATAATTTCTGGTTTTCTGGAGTCAAATATCTTGCAGGTAAATGGCATTTTGCCATGTTTTTCTACCCTAGGATAGAAAAAATAGAAGCAATAGGAACATAACTGTCCCAGAAAGAGAAGTGAATTACTGCTCTCTCTCTCCAGAAAAGAAACAGTGTCAAATTAATAATTGATCATGCTTGGGAAGGAAGGGTTCAAGAAACAAGGTCATGGCTCAGAGAAGCAATTTAGAAAAAGCATTAGTACTTTCTAAGTAAATGTCTGATTGTAAGGAGAGGATGACCTCAGAAACCAAGCTAGAGACTGACCGCACCTGATCCACCAGGAGATCATTCTGAATACAACAGAAGCTTCAATCAAATGAGCACAATGGCCCTTGTTTAATTAATTATACAGTATGCTTTGTGTATCTCAAAAAAATCACAGTACTTTCTGGTCTTTCACAAAAGGTGTAGCATTGCATCACTGGAAAAAATAGCAGTTTCAAGATAAGTCAAAGTAATTAACCACTGCAGGACACTAGCAAAACCGCAGTATTTGTGCTATAATATCCTATGCAGCAGAAACTTGCTTGTCCAATAGACACAGAAATGAGATAATTAAAAGATCTTCCTAACAATAATTCGTACTTTTGTTATTGAATCTCTTTTTGGATATATGCCAACCAACATAGGGACACAGCCATTAGCAGGGTGGAGTTGCATCCTTCTGTTTACGTTGTCTAGCTTGTAGTGCAAAACATTCTTTTGAAAAGATAGGCAGAGTCTGGATTTCAGATTAGACCATTTACATACAAGCATGTGAATGTGACTTGCGAACAAGGCAGTAAGATTTTTTTTCCACCCCTTTTTGTAGGAAAATTGTCCTACCTTGGGAAATTATTTGCTTCTACAATGCTCAGGTTTGCACAGTAGGAGAACAGGTAGCCATTGTAACCTTTGGCTACTAGATAACAAGGAAGCCAAATACCCCAGGGGTGGGGAAACACAAAAAAAGAGAATACTCACATAATACTGTTCGACATGTTATGTGGGCAACCCCGCTTTTCATAGGAAAATCATTTAGATATACCTGTCCGTTAACATAGGTGATATTAAAAACAACCTGAAAGAAAGACAGACAGAATGAGTGTATGGTTCCTGGCCCTATGCTACAGTTCCGTTCTCAGACGAACACACTTCATACTGACTGACATCAGACAAAACAATGTATTTGCATCCACATGCAGACTTTGTTTCACTGCATATTAATTCACTGAATAAATATAAAAATGGGACAAACCTGTCCTTTGTGAAATTCTCCATTGGTTTTCAACATCATAACATTGACTCTGATGGTTTCCTGGAAAACAACAGTGCGAAGAGATGTCAGTTTCTGAGGAAACACATAAGCCGCTGCAGGCCACTGGCAGCTTTCACACACTGTCCTAACAGAATGACTACGTGCAATCCCCAGAGTACATTTCCAGGCTTTCTATCCAGCAGACGGAAGAAAGAGGAAAACGCTTACTTGTTTCATGTAAGGGTTGGGGTTTTTTTTTCCCCTCTCTTTTTAATAAAGAGGATTGGTGAGAAAGAATGACAGCTGCATCCCCTTATGTATAAAGGGCTTTTTAAAATCAAGATAAAATAATAATAATAATCAAGCTAAATTCTCAGGAGAACTTGTTTCACATGGATATAATGGAAAAGAAGCCTCTCAGCTGAAAAATAATAGACAATACAAGGTGCAAATCAGATTCTCTGTAAATGTTTTTTAACTTAGTCTTCAAGGTGAAGTATAATTTAATACACGTTAGCCCATACTAAAGAACACTCAGTTTTTTCAGTGTCAGCAGTAATCAGTAATGCTGTTTCTTTTCTTTGGTTATCATTCCCAAATTACGCCACATGGGACACCTCCAAACGCACAGCTAATGGGGATTTGCTTCCTTCTTTCAAACCCTAATTGCTGTAATTTATTGACTCGTTCTGTTCTCTGATTTCACCCTTGTAATTTCAGGGGCTCTTTTGCAGATGGGACCTTAAATCTCCCAGGCCTGCCCCTGACAAAACCTACTTAAAACAGCCAAACCTCTCTTGGATATAGCCAAAAGTAATGATTGCCACACTGCTTTCCTGAGTCACCTCTTCAAAAATAATATTAAGCTCCTTATTTGCCTTTTGGGAGCCTTAAATTATTCTAATCACGTTTCATTTTCCTCTGGAAAACTTCTCCATACCTACAGCATCTTCTTTAGCTCTGTGTTTGAGTCATGGTTTCACAACTAACAGCTAAAAAGGGAGTCATGTCTCAACAGAAAGTTGAACTTGCCCAGAATTTAAAATAAATTAAAAAAAACTCAATACATAAAAAGGCTTTTTGTTTGGTATTTTTATAAAACACGAAATTTTCAGGCAGGAAATACTTTAAATATACAGTACCTAGCACAATATAGTCACAATTCATGAACAGAGAGCTTCTGAATTGTGTCTATAACGTTAAAAATTCCTTAAAACAATGGGTGTTTTTCAGTATACACAGGCAGCCAGGATTACCAAACACTGAAAAACAACATCCAAATCTGATTCAGCAGAAATCTGGCATCACGAGAAGCATGGTTTAAAATCTAACATAGATAACCTTTTGGTTGGAAATTACTTGTCATTGATGCTTCAGATGCATTTGTCAAATCAGTAGGAAAACTCTCTGGCCACTGAGACCAAAGAGAAATCTCTCTCTCAATGCCCTTTCTAGGAAACAGGTGTTTATACTGACTTTTCTTCAAAACTTAAATCCTAGCTATTCAAAGTAAATTAAAATTACCAATTTACTTAGAGAACTGGAAGTCTGTTACTGAAAATATAAACCAGATCAATAATATAATCACAGGATGTAATCTATTCTGTCATCCTGTAACTTCCTCAAACCACTTATTTTCTTCTCAAGATTTAAGAATTCTGTATATTAAAAAAAAAACCACACTAAAACTTTTAGCTCTTTATCTAGCATTCAGAGCTGTACTTCATTTACACCCACAAACTGCTTAACAGATTACCAAAACCTTGTGTCATGACTTCTCAGGTTTTTCTGTTTTCTGGGGATTCAAAGGGCCCAAAAGATGGATTTTCCAGGCAGTCTTAATATTCCTTCAGTTTTTAAGCCTTAAATGAGATTTCAGTTCCTTTCCACAGAAAGTATTTTGCAATCTTTTTTCAACATCTACAAAGTGACTCACTGAGATTACAAGAAAAAGGAAATGACTGATAGCCTGTAACAAGAAATTAAAATATTTCAGTGATCACTTCAGTGCTGTCAAAGTTACAAAAAATGGACCATAGCGTGCAGACAAACAAATAAGACAGCTTAACAGCTTGCTGCCTCTGCCAGTAAAAGAGACAGTGTAGATCCCTCCTCACCTGCACATCATCCTTCCCTTTCATTTATGCCAAGCGAGTGAGCCAATTTAGCTCACTAAATTGTCAGGAAAACTTGCCCTTTTTTCGATGGAATGTTTTTCTGTCAGTTCGACAAGCAAGGAAGAGCCAGACAAGCACGAGAGACGCAAGCACACAGCTGGGAGGAAGGAGCTGGGCTACTTGCTCTGACGGCCACAGGCTGTTGGATTGGCTCTGCTGCACAGTCTGCCTGTCCTCGCAGCATCTCCCTCTGATCAGAAGCAAGGTGATGGGGCATCCTCTGAACGGCACAGGTTCATAAAGTTGCTCGATAACTTAGAGCAATGATTAATATTCCGCTACAGCGGCTACACCATGACCCTTGCAGTTTTGTGTTCACAAGCAATGGAGAACTGGTATTCTTGCCATTCCCGTGACCAGTCTGCTCACATCCAGATCCAACAAATTCTTCTACTGATGACTTCCCACGTTCTATACATCCATTCTCCTGATTTGTCATATGTTTCTGTTTCGCCTCTTCACTAAACAGTCTCAAAGACTTGGTGCCAGCCTTGCTAACATTTCAAATAGATCTCAAAGTTTTGGTGTTAACAAATAATGTTTTCAATTATTCTTGCTCCAGATGTTCCCCAACTGATACAGAAACATCTCAAGGACCAAAGGAAGACCAACTTTTCCAGAGTCAGGACCAACTATATTGATGTCATTCCTGACAGATGTTAACTTAACTTATTCTTAAAGCTCTCCAGTGACATCCAAAAATTTCATGCTCTCCTCAACTACTATTTAGCACTCAGCTAGCTTTAACATTAAAAATTGTCCTAATGTCTAACCTGAAGCTTCCTTGCTGCAATTTATGAACAGGTTGTTCATTACTCTTCACGATATCTTCCCACGGAAAATAACAGTCCTCCAACTCACTCTTCCTGAATTTATGCTAATGTTCCCAGCTCACGTAACCTTTCCTTGGAGGTGAGCTCCTCACTGCTGTCTTCCCATGGCTTCCCACTGGTCTCCCCTGCAGTGCTGCACCCAAAACTCAACGGGTCCTGCTGTGGCCAATCTTCCTGACCCTACACACCTCATACCAAAATCTACATGAGGGCAAGACACACAAGATGCGTGCCAAACACAATGAAAAGCCGGGCAGGAGGATTGGGGGAAAGAGGAAGGGATTATTGCAAGCAGCTCACAGGAGAGCAGAGCACCATCCCAGCTGGCTCACTTCCACCCCCAGCAGGGAATGGGTGATGAACAGCATTCCCCCTGTTAACACAACCCCAGTTGGTACCCCCTTGATATCTGCTCATGAATAAGTGCTCAAGAGCCATACATTGTTAATGCTCGTAAACTGGGAGGGAAACAGACTGGGCAGGCCAACAGCTCTTGTACCAAGCTTTCACGATGAAGTGCCTGGCCTGACAAGCCACACTTGCTAGAAAGTGCTCCAGTGATAACTCAAATACCCATCTTTCCAATCCTAGGGGTGAAGACTCACAGATTATGAAACATCCTTTAATTTCAACACAGAAAATACTTTTTTATGTTACCATAACAAAACTCACTGTGTAAGGGAAAAAAACAACAGGAGTGTCTTATAGATATGTCTTATGGCTATACACTTCAGTACTAAGAAAAGTAAATAACCCCACATCACTTATTTTGTGTATCAAAAGCATAGTAAGCCAATCCTGTAGTAACAAAATCACTGAGAGCAGGACATGGGTCATCTGCAGTAATCCGTAATATTGCACTGTCAAGTTCTGGAGAAGTCTGAACTGTGAGTATAAAACTTGTTTGTATAACTTACAATACACTTTTCAGTATTAATAATATAATGAAAGTTCACACAAATTTTGGACAGTCCTGTAATTTAAAAGGTCCTGAATTCACTGGAATATTTGAGAAAGCTGCACTTTGACAGAGTCAGAATCAAAGGACAGCCCCAAGAAGCAATTCAGGTCCCTAGGAAACAGGTTGTGCTTCCAGCTTACCACTGACACCCGTTCCATCATTCACAGCACCTTATCCCCTCCTGTGCTGCTGAATGCCTTCACACAAAACTCTCCACTTTACACTAAAAATGGTCCTATCATTCTTAATGCTGTTATAGGATGCAGATGTCTCTCCTGAGTTTTCCTACAATTTCTCATCACTGTTTTAGTGCTCTGGCAGTGATATTTACAGTGGTAAGGGCCACAGTACCTGTAAAGAGGACAGCACTTCTACCACAAACGTATGTCATTCTCTTCCAGGACAGCAAGGCAACAGCAGTAACAGTGCGGCGACATACATTACAGTGAACTAGTGAATTTTTGTGAACTTGGACCGATAGAGATAAGCAGGTAGTGATCATTTTCTCATCCTTTCTCTTTTACCATGTGCTGCAACAGAACCTAGGAGTGTTAACTGGAGCAGTATAATCACAGTAGTAGCAGAAGAGCAAGATGGCAGTGAAGAATATAAAGCATCTGGCATAAGTTAAAAAGGGAATATTCATTAATTCTTAAAGACTCCCCATACCAATGCCACACAAATCTACAGAGAACATTTCACCTAATCTTAGCCTTTTATGAAAAACGCTGCACAAGGCAAAGCTGTCGGGTCTAATCACGCAAGAACTTCAAACAGATCTGATTACAGAATCACAGAAAAACTTCTTCCACGGGCAGCGGGTACCTGATGGCGTGCACCATTCAGTTTCTCCCAGTACAGGGTAACTGTTAACTCCTACACAACTGCATTAGTCACATAAACCCCTTCTAGATTCAGCTGCTAGCAGCCAGCCCACTTAAAGCACAGCTGTTCTCTATTGAGGCTGTCCGGGCAAGGCTCTTTCTGCACTAGAAGGCCTGTGGGAAGTAAAGTGGGCAGCACTAGGAACAGATGGCATAGTGCCTTGCAAGACAGCCAGCTGTACGGAGACTTGGAAGACAGACAGTC